TTAAGTACCTTAAGATCCTGTGTAAACACTTAAGATGAACACTGGTAGGATTGCCTTGAAACTGACAGAGCTGCTGTACAGGGAAGGTGATATCAGGTCTTGTTGTTGTCAAGTACTGTAACTGTCCTAGCAGATGTCTATAATGTGAACCATCTGATAATGGAGTTCCATCAGTTGCTGAAAGCACTGTCTTCATGCTTATGGGAGTCTTGGCAGGTTTACTTTCAAGGAAGTCAGCATTAGCAAGCAACTCCAAGCAAAACTTCCTTTGGTTAACTGAAATGCCTTCACCTGATCTGGCCACTTCTAATCCAAGGAAGTATCTCATGTTTCCCAGATCTTTGATCTTGAAACCTCTCTTCAGTTGCAACTTTACCTTCTGAATTTCATCTAAATCAGGGCCTGCTAGAAGTATATCATCAACATACACAATTAAAATCACAGAAGATGTCCTGAACACAGAATAATCTTCATATGATTGTTCAAACCCCAGACCCTTTAGATACTCAGACAATTTAATGAACCATTGTCTGCTTGCTTGTTTTAACCCATATAGGGACTTCCTTAGCTTGCAAACCTTTCCCTTCATCCCTTCCTTTCCTTTCAATCCATCTGGCAGCTCCATATACACATCCTCATCTAAATCTCCATGTAAAAAGGCATTACTCACATCCATTTGATGGAGATGCCAGCCTCTAACTGCTGCTACTCCCAATAACAGCTTCACTGAGTTTAACTTAACAACTGGAGAAAATGTATGAATGAAATCAACACCATAGGTCTGTGTATAGCCCTTAGCTACCAGTCTGGCTCTTCTTCTTTCAATTGATCCATCTGTTAGGAACTTTGTCTTGAAGACCCATTTGTTTCCAACAACCTTCTGACCTGGAGGTAAGTCAACTATGTCCCAAGTTCTGTTCTCTTCTAAAGCATCAATCTCTTGATTGATTGCATCATTCCAGCATCTTTCCATTATGGCTTGTGAGTATGTCTGAGGGTCAGGTGCAAGGGATATGGAGAGAGTAAAATGTTTGTGGTTAGGTGACAAAGAAGAGTAATCCAGGTGGTTTGAAAGAGGGTACAGAAGCTTGGAATCATGTTCTCCTGGAGTTCCCTTTGAGAAGAAACTTGTATGGAAATCCTGCAAGTAAGCAGGCTGTTTAGATGTTCTAGATGATTTTCTCAAGGCAATGGGAAGTGAAACAGGAGAGGGTGTTGATCCAGAAGAAGAAGGTGTGTTTGGAGAAGGGTGAGAAAGAGGAGAAACAGATTCATCATCAGATTCATAATCAAGAGGAGAGTAATCATGATCATTAGTTTCATGAACATTGTGGTCTGGTGGCAGGAACTGATTAGGAGGTGTGGAATCTCCAAAGAGATCACCAAAGGGAAAATCTTGATGATGACTTTTAGGTGGTTGAGGGGTTTGAGAAAGGGTTTGAGAAGGTGAAGAATGGAGTGAACTGTCCCCCCCAGCCATCAATGGAAAGATGCTTTCTACAAACTCAACATCTCTGCTAACAAAAACAGTATCCTGCTCCAGATCATATAGCTTAAATCCCTTAATACCATAAGGGTAACCAACAAAAACTGTCTTCCTTGCTCTTTCTGCAAATTTTCTCTTGTGCTCATCTAACACAGTGGCATAAGCCAAGCAACCAAATACTCTTAAAGAGCTATAGTCTGGAGGTATACCATACAAACACTCAAATGGAGTTTTGTTGTTCAACACAGGTGTAGGAATCCTGTTTATTAAGTATGCAGCATGCAAGACTAAATGACTCCAAAAACTGGTAGGTACCCCAGACTGAAATTTTAATGCTCTTGCTACATTTAGCAAGTGCTGGTGTTTCCTTTCAACTCTTCCATTTTGCTGTGCAGTTCTCACACAGCTCATTTCATGTAGAATGCCATGCTCTTGATAGAATACAGGCATATTAAATTCTTGCCCCTGATCAGACCTGATGACCTTAATCTGTTTACCAAATTGTGTATTCACCATAACATAAAAGGATTGCAATAGATCACGAGTTTCAGACTTGGACTTCATAAAAAACAACCAAGTACTTCTACTGAAATCATCTACAACTGTTAGGAAATACTTAAAACCATCATGGGACACAACATCAACTGGCCCCCAGATGTCTACATGTACTGTATCAAATATGGCAGTAGCCATTGATGTACTTCTATCAAAAGGTAAACGTTTCTGTTTAGCCATATGGCAAACCTCACAGTCACTCAATTTAGGTACTACTACTTCATTACACTGTCTATGTATCTCCTGCAGTCTTGGTAAAGAAAGATGTCCTAGTCTGGTATGCCATAGGTCTGAGCTTGGTCTGGTTGTCACTCCAAAAATATGTGGTCTTGAATTCTCTCCAGGTTGTGTGTTCTCTCCCAGTAGGTATAGCCCCTTAGCTACGTGGATTAAACCAATCCTCTGTTGAGAGATTAGGTCCTGAATACAACAAAGATTGGATTCAAATGTGAGTGATACTGGACTGTGTTTGGTGAGCTTACTGATAGAGATCAGGTTATAACTAAAGGATGGGACAAGTAGGACATTGGTAAGAAAGAGACCACAGGACAGTTTTACTATGCCTATGTGTGTTACCATGGCTTTCTGTCCATTTGGTAAGGTGACTGATAAATCCTTAGCTTGTCTACATCTCAGAAAAAATTTCATAGAACACACTATATGATCACTTGCACCAGTGTCAAGTACCCACACATCATTGCTACCATCAGTGAGAGAGGTTGAGAGTACTGTTGTACCTGACACTGAAGCCCCTTTAGCCACAATGGAATTAGCCATGGAAGAGGGTGATGGAGGCTGCTGAGGATTCTGGAGTAATGCTTTGAGACGCATTAACTCTTCATTAGTGAAACCAGCAAACTTGTTTGGACTGCTAGGAGTGTTGCCTGGACTGTTTGCACCATAAGAAGAACCTCCACCAGCTCCAGAGTTATGTTTTTCAGCCGTTCCATATGAGGAACTTCCAGCAGCCACATCAACTGAACCAGCAAAAGCTCTGCCTCCCCCTTCCTTGTTCTTCTTCTTAAGCTTCCAACAATCTTGTATAACATGATTGTCTTTCTTACAGTACCTGCAGAAAAGACCTCCTGCCCCTTCTTGCTGACCATCTCTTGCTCCTCTATCTCTAGACTGACCATATTGAGATTTTGATGCAGCCAGGGCAGTTGCAAGGGCAATGGTTTCCTCAGATTTTCCAGTATTACTGCTTGATCCCTTCAATTGTCTCTCAAGTTGGGTAACAGATCTGTAAACACTGTCCAGATCTGGTAAAGGGTCAAGCATCAACATCTGGGTTTTGACCTGCTGGTACTTTTCATTCAAACCCAGCAAGAATCGAATCACCTTAGCTCGTTCTCGATACATAATGACAGTCTCATATGTCTTAGATGCACAATCACAGAAGGGTATGGGTAAGTAGCTATCACTCTCATCCCATAACAGCTTCAAATCAGTATAATACTGTCTGATGGTTTGATTCCCTTGCTTAACAAGGTCTACCTTCTCCTGCAGATTAGCAATCCTCACAGAATCGCCTTGACTAAACTTGGATTTGAGAAATTTCCAAGCCTCAGATGCCAAATTAATATTTCGAAGACTAGGCACTATATCTTCTGAAACAGAGTTACGAATCCAGCAAACCACAGTTCCATTAACCCTATCCCAGGTTCCAAAAGAAGGATCAGAAGCATCTGGTACCTGAATCGTACCCAGGACAAACCCTAGTTTGTTTTTGGTTCGCAGCGCCACCTCCATGGACTCACTCCAAAGGAGATAGTTGTCATCATTCAACTTAAACCCGATGACAGGAAGAAAAGAGTTGTCACTGTGTGCTAAGTAAAAGGGGTTGCTGTAAGGATCTTCATACCTCGGTGATGAGATCTCCCTTTCAGCAGCACCACTACCACCACTGTCTTCAGTGCTCTTACCAGACATGATTTGCTAGAGAAAGAAGAAGCAGAGGGGAAGAAATGTTTGAAGAGGAAATAAGAGTTTAGAATGCAAAGGTACTCAGGAGCCAACCAGGCTCTGATACCATGAGAAGAATATAACCTAGCTCAACAAATGCTAGGGTTTGAGGGAAGAAAGAACAGCCTGAATTGTGGGAATCGGCAAGATGCCTTTCCTCTGTGTGGGTTTCTCATATATATAGCAAAGAAGACGATTACACTGTACATTAACGGTAAACAGACAAATCAATTGAACTAACCTATCAGAGACTGCCAACTGTCTAACTGCTATTGTTAGCTTATTCTAATTACAAAACTCCCAATGCGACGACGTTCTGTCTTATGAGGCTGTGTCATTTAGTACAAAACGTCGTCGCTCCCAGTGTCTTCTTCGCTGTGTTCTGACTAAAGTGAAAGGAAGCTTTAGCCAGTCTTCTCATGTTCTTCTGCACCATTCATGTCTGCAGTAGCTGAAGATCACCATTTCCTTTCACACGAGCAGCAGCCGAGAACTTTGGGTAGGGCGGGCCAGTCACCAAAGGCGGGTTTCCAAGGAACTCCTCAGTAGAGAGTTTGAGGCCTCAGCTCACTAAATGCCAAAAATTGAAACAGTAGTAAGGATTTTGGGCAAAAAGTGTACCCACTAATTATATATAAGAAGAAAAATCGCAAAATAAGGTATTTATTTTGTCTTCCTTTCTCGATAAAAAAAGAACACAGGCGACAAATTTTATTACTTTTTAACTTGGGGAAGAATCCCGTCAGTCTGGCGTCTGAAAATACAAACTCGGGTGACGTCGAATACCCTACGTCACGTAGAACAAGTGAATTGAACAACCTAACAAAATTAAATGAAATGACGTCGAATAGCCTTACGTCAGATTAGAACAGAAACAGCTCAACAACAGTCCGAACCACCGAGTTTTTGGCTACCGACTGCTCCATCCACCAAACCAGCAGTCCTTTATTGAACGCAGACATCAGCACCGCCCTCTCACAAAATCAAACCCTTTTTTTTCATTCCAAAAACGGCAGAAGCTTTCTCCAGATTGAGTTTGTCATTATAATCGTGACACGTGACAATCGAGAGAAGAAGAGGGAAATGGTGCAGCATTCTCTCGCTTTCCTCAAACCTTTATAAAAACCCGCCTGAATTCCATCTCCAAAACCACCATGAACAGGAAGCAACCCTTCCCCCTGAAGAAAGCTGAGCGCAAAATGGGAGAAGTAGCGCCGCAGAGAAAAGCACACGTTGTGCTCCTTCCATACCCAAGCCAGGGCCACATCAACCCACTCCTCCAATTCGCCAAACGCCTCTCTTCCAAAGGCGTCAAAGCCACAATGGCCACCACCCACTACACCGTCGGCTCCATCACCGCCTCACCCGCCGTCGCCGTCGCCGTCGAGCCAATCTCCGACGGTTTCGATGCCGGAGGGTTCGTTCAGGCTCGAGACGAGCGGACGTTCCTCCAGTCGTTCGAGACCCACGGCACCAGAACCCTGTCCGAGCTCGTGGCGAGGCACGAGAGGACCGACTCCCCTGTCACTTGCATCGTCTACGATTCTTTCCTGCCCTGGGCGCTTGACGTTGCCAGGGGACACCGCATTTATGGAGCCGCGTTCTTCACGAACTCGGCCACCGTCTGCGGCGTGTTCTGCCGCGTCAGCCGCGGCGTGATCAAGCTGCCGTTGGCGTCCGAGGAGGATGGGGTGGCTGTCCCTGGGTTGCCTAAGCTGGGTCGTGTTGATTTGCCGACTTTCGTCAGGTTTCCGGAGAGCAACCCGGCCTACTTGGCGATGGTGCTGTGTCAGTATTCGAACTTGGACGAGGTCGATTGGGTTTTCTGCAACACATTTCAGCAATTGGAAAGCAAGGTTTCGTAAACCCGATTCCTTCTCATGATCACTGTTTCATTCATTGTCCTCTGTAGCTGGCTAATTTTTCTATCCAACAGTCAACTCTACAGCTATTTTTCCCCAACAACCAACAGTCAATTACTCTGTTTCTTGTTGACATATCATGATATAGCTGTACGAAATGAACAACTATTTACCTGTTTCCTTCAATAACTGATTCTGTTCTATGTAATGATTAAACAAAACAGGAGGCAGGAAGTGTAAAAGGGCATTGGCCGGCGAGACTGATTGGCCCGATGGTTCCTTCGTCCTACTTAGACGGCCGGATTGCCGGTGACAAAGGATATGGAGCGAGTCTCTGGAAACCACTCAGTGACGAGTGCCTAAAATGGCTGGAGAACAAGGAACCCAGATCAGTAGCATACATTTCCTTCGGCAGCATGGTGAATTTGACAGAAGAGCAGATGGGAGAGATTGCAGCGGCGTTGGAGGAAACAGGCATTCAGTTCCTGTGGGTGGTGAGGGCTTCAGAGCACAGCAAGCTCCCAGCTCGGTTCAGGGAGTTGAATGCTTCAAAGGGTCTAATAGTGCCATGGTGCAACCAGCTAGAGCTGTTGGCACACAAGGCCACAGGCTGCTTCGTCACACATTGCGGCTGGAACTCGACCCTTGAAGGGCTGAGCCTGGGTGTGCCGATGGTGGCTATGCCGCAGTGGAGTGATCAGGTCACCAATGCCAAGTACGTGGAAGAGATTTGGAAGATTGGTGTTAGAGTGAAGGAAGACGAGACGGGGGTTGTTAGAAGGGAGGAAGTTGCTAGGTGCTTGAAGGAAGTGATGATGGAGGGGAGTAGAAGCCTGGAGATTAAGGTAGCTGCAAGGAAATGGAAGCAGATGGCTGTGGAGGCGGTGAGCGAAGGAGGTGAATCGGACCGAGAAATCAACAACTTTGTTAGGAAACTGCTTTCGTGTAGTGACCATTCAAATCATACAAGGATACAATAAATTTACACGGCGACGATGGGAAGGAAATGAAAAAAGATGACAGAAGAGTCAAATGCCCACATTTCCTTCTAGGGAGCAGCCAATTCAGCAGTTCGTCATGTTCCAGTGTACCTGCTAATGATTTGAGAATCAGGCTAACACCTTTATATAAGTACCTCATGGTTGCAATCTGATGTTTCCTTTCCATGCATTAGAAGCTCACTGCGACGCGAATTGAAGTTTGCTTCTCTTCTTGAGTTTGTTCCTGAAGCCTCTTTTCCTGCTAAAAGCAGTCTCCTGCAACCAATATAAGACAATTATCAATCTACTGCTCTGGAAGGAGCAACCAGTAACCAACACAAAATATGCAGTTTAATTATGATTTTTATTGCCACTTGATTTCACACAGGAGAAGTACATAACAGCATAATTCGTTAGATAAAATTATACTACATAGCTGCAAAAGGGTCACTTAACAGTTCGTGCAAATATCAGGATAGAACAGCAAGTTAGGTTTCGATAATTACCACTGGGCGTCCCAGTTTCTCCGCTTCACGAATTGCAGAAACAAGATCTCGATTGGACTCAGTGTACAGGCTAGTAACAACCCCGTGTTGACCAGCTCGACCTGTGCGGCCAACCCTATGCAAGAAATCTACAGCTGATGTTGCAAAGTCTGCCTGGAGGATGAAGCCAACAAATCGTCAGAAATTACTCCTCTGAAGTATGTCTTATCAGAAGTGTTGTTCATGATTATGTAAGAAGCATATGCAGGAAAACATCTCCATGGCTAACACAAAGAAAAAGCACCTGAATAACATGCGAGATATTTGGAATGTCGACCCCACGAGCAGCAGCATCAGTGCACACAAAAATTCCACCTTTCTCCCTGAAATCATCCAACATCCCAGCACGTTCTTCTAAAGAGGCGTCCTTATGGTATCTGTAACACTCAATTCCAGCTCTTTCCAGTATCTTCGCTACTGCTTCAACAGCCTCAACGGTATTTGCAAACACCATAGTTCGACTAACATCATTACTGTCAGACGTTTCGGATTCAACTCCATGTTTCACAGCCTCTATAAGTGCATCCACCTGGCTATCTACGGTTACCTCAAACCACTTCCGCTCTAATCTGCAAATCAAACCTAACAAATGAGTTATCAAAAGTGACCAGCTAGGTGCAACAATTGTAAGAGGCTTTGAAATCAGTGTGAGCACCTGGGGTTATGGCGGTGAAGGTAGTTTCCATTCACCCATCTAGCATCTGGGAACATCCGTTTCAGCACTGCACCAGCAGTTCTCTTCCCATTAGCTGGGAGTGTAGCTGCCACAAAGATATACTGCTTGCTACGGTCGTAAGGTTTTAGAACTCTTCTCCAACCCTTTTTCTGAACTGAAACACCATCTTCATTTCCCTCTTCTAACTCTTCCTCTTCAGAAAGACTTTCGATCTCTTCATCGTCATCTTGAGATGCATCGTTTGGCGATTCTTCATCCTGTTCCAAGGCATCCTGAGGCAGAGTCTCCAAGTCTACTTCAGAAGCATTATCAGCTGTGGATTGACTTGTCCAGGAAAGAAGCTTCTCATCGTGACGAAACATGTTTATGAGACGGATCACTTGATTCTGGAAACTGCCACAGAGAAGCATGTCTGCTTCATCAAACACCTGACAGTCAATGAACAGCATACCATTAAAAATAAAGATGAACCCAAAATTGAAAAGCTCCGTCAAACAGCAAGGTTCAGAGAGGAGATATTTTAGAGAAGAAAAATTACCACATATTTGACTCCACGAAGGAAACTCATCTTTCTCTGTTTCTTTGGTTCAATGTTGTTCAGAAGTGCAGCTGGAGTCGATACAAGGACGTCTGGTTGATATACTGGCCATCCCTTCATAAAGTCAAATTAAAGGAAGCAGGTTTAAGGAACTAAAACTGAGCTAAACTAACTTCAAAGAAGTAACTTTTTTGTATGTGCTACACAAGGAAGTGGAATTCAGCTGGAATTTACTACAACCTGTCTCCCACAAACTGCTGCGACTTTGATAAGTGGGTCGCCATTCTCATCACAAAGACCATTCGCCATTCGAACCACTTGCTCGCATAGCAGCACGTTGGGGCAAAGAACAAGCGAAACTTCACGGGAAGGTTTGAAACCTTTATCAGAAGCAGAATCACAAACAGAGCCGCCAATGGAAGCGGAAAGCTTGTGAATCAGAGGAACTAGATAGGAATGCGTTTTCCCACTGCCAGTCTCCGCCGCAATGATCGAATCCTTCCCGGAAAGAATCGATGGGATGGACTCGGCCTGAACGAGGGACGGCCTGGTGAATCCGGCATTCGATAGAGCTTGAGAGATTGTGTCCGACAAGCCGAGAGCAGTCCACGAAACGCCTTCCTCGGCGAAGAACGTCTCGCCGCCGCCACGATCCGCGGTGGTGGCGACGGCGGCTGCTGTAGCGAAGCTCCGAACTCCTCCGTCGTTGGATTGGGCGAGGCAAAACAGATGAACCCGAAGCGAAGTCGATGACTTGGGAAACGAAGAGGATAGTGAAGGGGATGAGAGAACCGAAAAAGTTCTTCTCAATTGAGGAAAGAGGAGCTTTGGCGACGATGAGAGCTTGTAGAAATGGAGCATCGGAGCAGAGCTATGAAGAAAAAGCATCTGCCTTGCTGTGTAAGAAGAAGCAGAAGGAGATTAGGTTTTCGGGGTTTAACCTTGAAATGATAAACCCTTCCAGTTCCAGAGGTACCTTCGCACCGACCGGCCGAATGAAATGACGCCGTATTATGTGGACGGTCGATCATCAGTTGTTTCCAATCCAAGGGATTAATGATTGGGCTGCAAACTGAGCAAGCCCGTATGGGAACTCAAAGGCCAAAGTGAAAGTATAAAAGTATAGAACTTTCATCTTCCTCAGAAAACTTTGCTGTCATTCTCCACTCTGTTTGTGGGGTTTTGTTGGGATTGCGGTTTCTATAGCATAATGGCGCCAAAGGTTTTCAGGAAAAACATATGGCAATGGCGCCGAAAGCGTGCAAAAGCAAAACCCTTGATCGACCCAAACGGGATGTTCGCCGGGATGGTGGTTCTCTTGGTGGCGAATGGAGTTCAGCCCCGCCGGCTAGAGGTTTGTTTCTCTTAAAATTCCCATCGCAAACTTTTGAAACTTGGATGCTCGGAAGCAAGTAGTTTTCCCTTCAACTTATTGCTTCTCTTTGCATTTCATCGTTGGGGTTCGGAAGATTTGGAAGCAGAAGCTGGTGCAGAAGAGGGCTACCGTCGAGGACTACTTCTCCAAGAAGGTCAATTGCGTTTTTGCTATGAGCCCAGAAGCCCTTCTCAAGCAATTGGATAGACAACGCCTTGAAAGCTTCAAGGGAGTGAGTTTTAGGCTTCGTTGGTTATCCTCTCTACTCTTAGATCAATGCGTGTAATTCTGATGCTTCAATTCTTTTTAACTGCATCTCTGCCCAGAGAGTTCTCCTTTTTCAGTGGCTAGAGGAGAGCCTGAGATTAGGGGAAAAGGTTTCTGAGGATTTATACCGCATAGACATCAATTCAGAAGGAGGGGATACTAGAAGTATGTCTCAAAGTGCTAAGGATAGTGAAGAACCTTCTCTGAAGAAGACGAGATATAATCCAGAGAACGTGGAAAGTTTAAAAGCTGATAGCAGGGATGATTCAGCGGATAGTCCCAGAATCTCTGAGAGCGTAGACTACTCTCTTAGCCCTGGAAGGACCAGCCCGAAATCTTATAGCAGTTCGAATATGGATGTAAGTTGCAGTAGTGTCTAATAGCTGATATGGATGCAGTGGAGACTGCCCTAGTTGATTGGTTGCCTGTATGTGCAGTTGTCCTTGGAGTATAATCCACCTGATTTAAACAGAAACATCACTGAGATATTTGGAAAACTTATCAACATCTATCGGGGTAAGCCTGCATACTCTTGCTAGAATGCTCAGTTCTTCCCCCTTTGTAGTTACTTCTGCCATGAATGATATTGATAACACCTTATCTTTCTGTGGGAAGCGTTGGGTGATGATCGGAGGTCTTTTAGCTATCACAAGGCAATCCCAGTCATAGAGAAGTTGCCATTCAAAATCGAGAGCGCAGAGCAGGTGAAAGGTCTGCCTGGGATTGGAAAGTCATTGCAGGACCACGTAAGTTTAGATTAAGTCCTTACTTGTCCTTCTGTTTATTGCAGTAGTTGGCAGATGTTATATGAGTGGTGGAGAAGCAATGTTCAATGTTATCTATGCATTCTGGTAAATTGCAGATTCAGGAAATAGTGACTACTGGAAAATTATCCAAGTTGGAGCACTTTGAAACAGATGAAAAGGTAATGGAAATGCTTTGTAGAGATGTTCATAAGTGTGGTCGTAAACCATATGATGAATATCTTTGATTTTATCTTTATGAGCTGCAAAAGGCTTTATATGAATTCTTAATTAGTGAAGTTTTCTTCGGCAAGTAATTCCAGGTATGTGCCATAACTTTATTCGGAGAAATTTGGGGTGTTGGTCCAGCTACTGCCCTGAAGTTGTATGAGAAAGGACATCGCAGGTTAGAGGATCTGGAAAATGAGGATTTATTGACTACTTCACAGAAGATAGGGTTGAAGTACTTTGATGACATTAGGACAAGGATTCCACGCAACGAGGTCAAGTGTCAGGCTTCTCTCTCAACTTCTGTGGATATGGATGAAAATGATTTTGGTATTTGTTTTCCTGATATTGTTTACATAAATCGAACTACCAGGTTCAAGAAATGGAAGGACTGCTGCAGAAAACTGGAGAAGAAATTTTGCCTGGGGTGAGTAGTTTTGCAGCGGTCCATGGACAAAAGATGATTCTAAATACTTGAGAGGTTCCAAAGGGACGTACTTAATCCAGGTTTAATGAAGTAGTGTTCCGTTGTTATTCAATGAAAGGACATTGGCTGCATATTTTGTGGGTCCATTTCATATTTCAGATTCAGTCTGCCATGTAGAGATGTTCTTCTGTTCTGTTATCGGTTTAAGAGTCACTTGTATTTACTTTTGTCTACACTGTACAGGCAAAGCCCAAGGCCTAGGGATTCATTATCTGATTTCTGTTTTGACATGTTCTTAAGGTACTTATTCTATGTGGCGGATCTTACAGACGTGGGAAAGCATCTTGTGGAGACATGGATATTGTAGTTACTCACCCCGATGGAAAAAGGTACAGTTTGTGGTATTTTTCCGGAAGTTCTTAACAATATTTTTCTAAGCATTCTTGTTCTTCTTGTTTAATCCCTTCCTTAGAACAGCCATAAAGGATTTTTGTCGAAGTTTGTGAAACGGTTGAAGGATATGAAGTTCTTGAGAGAAGATTTAGTTTTCACCACTCACAGTGAACAGGTATGGCAATTTTATTCCTCCTTGACTGTTTTTACTTTTCAGGGAACTGTCATCAGAACCATTTGATAACATAAATAACCATATATATCAACATCCCAGAGCACCAGCTATTTTTCGGATTAGGTCATCTGTATCACTTGCTTGCAGTACAGTTGTCTTCATACTTTACTGAACCTTTTTGTGTGTGCAGGGTACTGATTCTGGTGTTGACACATACTTTGGTCTTTGTACATATCCAGGAAGGGAATTGCGACGCCGGATAGATTTCAAGGTGAAAAGAGTGCTGATATGTCATCTCTCCGGACCATAATGGTCAATTCATTAGTTTAATCCTTCTCATTCTGTAGGTATATCCAAGAGATATATATGCTTTTGGTCTCATAGCTTGGACTGGGAATGATGTACTGAACAGAAGGTAAGTTGCAGTTTTTCAAATCATGAAGGGCCTTTCCTATATCTCCATCATCATCTCCATTGAGCCTCTCTTTCTCATTGCTACTGGTCCACAGGTTGAGGCTCCTAGCAGAGTCCAAAGGTTTCCGGCTTGATGATACCGGTCTATTTCCAGCTACTCACTCCTCAGGTGGAAAACGGGTAAATGAATCTGATCTCACAGTTTTCAGAATCTGCACCAATAGGCTAGGGCAGGCTACTCTTACCGGCATTCAACAAATCACAATTTTGTTGCAGGGTACAAGGGCAACAGCAAGCTTGAAACTTCAGACGGAGAAGGAAGTGTTTGACTACTTGGGTTTCCCATGGCTTGAACCCCACGAAAGAAACTTGTGAGATGTGTACATACATGTTCTGCTTTTGCAGTCATCTATGCAGACACAAGCATCCAAGACCATGTGCAGGGACTTAGTACTACTAGCAGTCTAACCGTCGTCGCCCTTTAGTGGCGCCTGGAGAGGAAGGGAAGCCGTAGAATTGTGATTTGGTAATGACCTCCACATGATAGTTCTCCAGCATAACATTTTTGCTAACGATTCCATTGTCTATATTCAGCTCGAGAGTCATGAATGTGCAGCGCAAACTGGGCTTTTGTGCAGAATGAAGGAAATTTTCCATTGATATGTTTTGATAAATTATTAGCTCATCTCTTGGCCTCCTGCGGTCCACGGTATAATATTAGCAACTTTGGCAATTTTGATTAGGGTTAAAGGTGCTTATTGCCTTTTTGCTATGCAAAGTTATCAAACATGCTGCTTTATAAATTTCACCATGTTTTGCCGGGATTTTTCTAGAAATAGCACTGTTTAAAAATAAAATTCCAAAAATAGCACCCAACTCCGAAAAATTCCAAAAATAGCACCCTTTTTGCAAACCCGCCACCCGGAGGTGCGTTTTTCGATAAAAATCGCTACCCGAGGGCGCATTTTTCGATGAAAACCGCACTGGTAGGGGGCGGTTTTGCAGACCGCACCCCCACCATGCGGTTTGGTTGCAGACCGCACCCCCACAATGCGGTTTGTTTGCAGACCGCACCCCTACCATGCGGTTTGTTTTTTTTTTTTTTGAAAAATCCTAACCTAGGTGGAAACTTCAAACGAACGTATCTTTATGTTCGGGTATCCGATCGTCGCGATTTTTTTTTATTCCGCATAACTTTTTGAGATATTGCAAGCCAAAGACTGCCAAAGGTGGTTTGGTCCCGCCTTCGTCCCAAAAAATGTCATTTGCTACCCCGAACGAACATTTTTTTCGATTTCGTCAAACTTTGAACAACCATAAATTTGTGCTCCAAAATTCAAATGGCATGAAATTTTTTTTATTTCGCATAATTTTTTTTAAGGAATACAACTTTTATCATAGACATAATTTCAAAATGTACGTGGATTGCTGAGAAGAGAAGATAAGCTATTCCCAAAATCTTTTATATCCAAAAATAATTCCTGTTTTGAAAATTCATTCTTAGTAAAAATTGTAGTCCTTAAAAAGTTATGCGAAATAAAAAAAAATTCATGCCGTTTGGATTTTGGAGCATAAAGTTATGGTTGTCCAAAGTTTGACGAAATCGGAAAAAAGCTCGTTCGGGGTAGCAAACGACATTTTTTTGGATGAAGGCGGGACCAAACCACCTTTGGTAGTCTTCTGCTTGCAAGATCTCAAAAAGTTATGCGGAATAAAAAAAAATCGCGACGATCGGATACCCGAACATAAAGATACGTTCGTTTGAAGTTTCCACCTAGGTTAAGATTTTTCAAAAAAAAAAAAAAACAGACCGCATGGTAGGGGTGCGGTCTGCAAACAAATCGCATCGTGGGGGTGCGGTCTGCAACCAAACCGCATGGTGGGGATGCGGTTTGCAAAACCGCCCCCTAACAGTGCGGTTTTCATCGAAAAACGCACCCCCGGGTGGCGGTTTTCGCCTAAACCGCTGGTACGGGTGGCGGTTTTGCAAAAAGGGTGCTATTTTTGGAATTTTTTGGAGTTGGGTGCTATTTTTGGAATTTCTTTTTAGATAGTGCTATTTCTGGAAAAATCTCATGTTTTGCCCTTCTATTACAAAAGCATATGATGTGCTCTTATCTATCTATCTATCTATTTATACATAATATTATGACAATTCAAAATTAAATTTTTGCCACATAAGCACTTGGAGATATCTCAAGTTGGACAATTTTTTTACCAAAAAAATAGTTATTGACCTATTTATAGAGTTGTCCCTCTCTCTTCATTTAATATTTAATTCTCTTTTATCCAATAATTATTTTGCTTTTGTTTATGCATTATATCTATATTTAACATATGGAGAGAAAGGTTATCAAACCGGTTTAGCAAGTGGAATGGTTTTACCAGTGGTACAATTGGTTAGTGTCGGTTCATGTCGGTTAATAAAATATTTAAAAATATAAAAAATCTTTAGTATCAAATGAATTTTATCATATATAAACCATATTTGAAGACAATTTACGTACAATTCATATTGATATTTGAATAAAATATAATATTTCAAATAAAATTACATGTACTCATACTTAAATCACTAAAACTACGTATTTTACTTAGAAATTCATAAACCGATCATACCGGTCATACCGATGGTGTCATGTCGATTTCATGACCGGTACTGGCTGAATGGTTCAACCGGTGGCATGCCGACCGACGTGACAATCATGATGGAGAGTGACATATATCACATTTTGTTTTTCCATTATATCGATGTACGAAACAGTATACTAATAGTTGATGAACTTTGACTTCATATTCTAGGATGAGACACGAGATCCCTTGAAAAATGAAATGTGTGAAATTTAGAGAAATCTTTGTTAAGGATGTACGTTAAACATCATATTTCATGCTAAGAAAAATCTAAATTCGACGATTGAGGTAATAAATAAACATTAATGTTTTACTTCACATATATAACAAAAAAAATTTATAGTTACAATAGTGTAAACCGAGCTATTGGGTCAAAAGAAGAATATTTAATAAATATGAGTTTAGTAAGAAAATTGTAACAAGTCTATATAGTTGTGAGCCTGTGATTTCATACCAAATTTTGGCATATCATATTTCAACTAAGGAGCTGAGTTCAAAGGTATTAATTAGTGTTGAAAATAAAATAAACTCTCTGTATTTATATGTTTAGATATTAACAATAGATGTGTCTAAAATACATCCAATAACTTAAATACATGTGAAAAGCCATAATGTTTGTATGAACTTTTAAATTTTGCTAAAAAATATTTTGTTAAAAAATTATAAGTTAATTATTCAAGGAATACATAATTTTGAATGCACCTGAAATATTTGTCTGTCGTATACACACTTTACCAATTATTAATATAAGTAATGGAATTTTTGTTCTAGAACAAACACCAAATATAAAGAAATTTTAGCGAATGAACATTCAAATAGTTGAAAAATTATACATTGAAGGAACATGTTAAGATGAGAACCTTCGATAGTGTATATGAATGCCTTGGATTCAGATTCTAAATGAACATCTAGACAAAAGGCATGGGTTGAGGGTTAGTCCAAACTTAAAATATTAGCAACTGATATATATTGTAAGATAATAATAATTTGTATCTTGATAGAAAATGGTCATAAGTTGCTATACAAAGACTTCATGAACATCAACAATAAAAATGAGTGAGGTTTAGAGAATTTAATCATTATAAGGATACGATGTGTGTCAAATTTCAATTGGAATAAACATAATTTGTCCAGTAATCAAGTATCTTTTTCCAATAATTTGAACTCTGATTAATTGGCTGAGAGTTCGTACAAACTCGAGAATGATGAATTGATGTATGTTGTATAAGATAATAAATTTGAGCGTCTTGGTGGAATTTTTTTTATATACAATCCTAAATAGGACGTGATAAACCTTTATGACATGATTTATGATCAGAGAATAAAAACATCACAAACGAGTGTGCTAACTATTAAATATTAAGAATTTTCGGTATAGACATACCACATATTCACTTATGAAGCGAGAACATAAAATGTATACAAGATCCAAAAAATTCAAACATATAGATAAGTTAACTAATACAAATAATCAAATGAACTTCTCCGGCCAGCTGGCCGGGTAAAAAACTAGTATTTTCTATAAAGTTTTCCTTAGAAAGTAATGGTCGATTCATCGTCCAATTGTGGTGAAATATTGAATTTGCTCCTCAAAAACTCACGAGGTGTTCAAACGGTAATATTTGGATAGTTTGGATAGCGATTTGATTTGTTTAAATTTTTTAGCTTGTTTGGTTTGGTTTTACATACTCCTAACCAATCGAACAAACTTAACTAGTTAAGTAATTAGTTATATATCTCATAAATATTATATACACATACTTAATACTTTGCATAACCAGTCAAGTGTGAAACGTTACTCCCACGCCGACTTATAAAAATAAAGTACAATATTGTTCCTATACTGTATATTTGTATTTATAGAGTGTAGACCACAACATATGGACTCCTATTTTAGATAATAGATAAAACTTAGACAATATGTTTGATGAAAACTTGAAAGGAATGTCTATTTCAGCCTATGATAATTGCTAAGAGAATAAGTCAATTTACAAAACACAACAATTCATCAACCAATACCATTATTGTGCATTTGTGTTACCTGAATACTTCTATTGACAGTAAGATAATCGTATTAGTTACATGTATTTATGTTAAAGGTTAACTATACCTATGCGTTGATTGTTATGTTTTATTTATTATATAAATTACAAATTGATGCAGTAACCGGAGATTTCCTCACTTAGTGATAATTTGATGATATATTGTTTAGTTTGGTTAATTTGGTTGTTGTATTAATTTGGACGGTTTGGTTATAATATTGTATTTCATAGTAAATAAATTTTAAACTTATTTGATTTGGTAATTATCATGGTAATCATTTAAACACCCCTACTTATCTTTGTCGGCTTCATTATGTTGGCAAAATTTATTGATATATATGACAAACTTAACCAAATTTTGGTAAGTGATAATCGATGAAATAGAGGCAGAGCTCAAAGCAAATAATTAATAAAAGAAACAAAATTAAATGACTATCATGAAAATAATTGATAAATCAAATAACCGAAAATACTAATTTAGTAATTTTTCATGAATTACCATTTAATCTACTATATACATTGATTTCGAATCCATCCATTCTCTTTGAATCGTTCATTCTGGCCCATAAAAAATAACCGCAAGGAAACAACCATCCCATTCAAAACGAAAGCGAAGGCTAAAACAACAGAGTCAATAAATTTTATTAGACAAACGTTTCACCACTTGATCATATTATTCGGCTTGGCTATTTGGTTCGGGTTTTTTTGTTTTACCTGAAACCGGATTTTATAACCCGAATCGAGACCGGACGGGACCAGATAGTAAATAATCCAATCCAATATTTGGGCTTAGATTTGAGGTAAAAAAACCATTTGGGACCGGATCGAAAACTAGATAAAGACCGGATAAGAGAACTCAACATCCAAAACTTAAGGGTAATTTGCATAAACCGTCACAAACCTTTACACTTAGTACAAAACTTAACCAACTCCTCACCCTTTCAGGCCTTAGGGAACACAAATCCCCACAAGCTCAATATAAAATCAAGACCGAATTGGGACCGGACCGAGTCAAGACTGGACCGGATCAAGACCAGACTGTATCCAATCCAATCTTTGGTCCTTATATTTTCAAAAAGACCGGACTGGACCAGATCAATTTGAGCCAATTTAACCGGACCGGACCGTATAGCCACCCCTACATATTATCATCATACATACCAATTTCTATTCTACTTTCCCTGAATTATTTCTACAAATAATTCCATAAAAAATCTTCTGATCACCTCTCTTTATTTGAGGATGTCATTATAAATCATATAAAGACAATTCATTTTTAGTATATTTATTTGTGCAAGTATTTTGATAAAATAATAATAAAATATCTGAAGATAACAAAATATTAGTCAATTGTTAAATTTTTGTTAACTCTTCTATTAGACAATGTTTAGCTGTCAAAGGTGATGCTGAGTTGAAAGAGTTTATGTGACATGACGGTCAGCAAGTAAATATAACTTTAGCAAACTAACAAGAGAGGGACTAACAAGAGAGTGATTCTGTGGCAGGAAATTAACAAGAGAGTGACTATATGTGACATGTTTCAGTAATTCGAGTGACCAAAATTGATATTAATTTTTTCTAGTAACTAAACATGACATGATTTATTAATTTTTTCTAGTGACCATATGTGAAATTTACCCTTATCCTATTACATCATGACCAAGGACTCGTTGAAATCCACTGATGAATGATGATGATGATCAAACCTGCACATCCAATACCACACGACACTTCCAGCAAGTATAATATGCAATCTATGGCACTCAAACGATGCTAAAATGTCGGTGCTATGTTCTCAACATCTCGGGTAGGGTTGGATAGAGGGAGAGGAGTTGTACAAAATGGTTAAGAGAGACCACTCCTTTGTTTAACGACACTTCACAACCATGGTGTTACAGGTAAAAATGCGTTTCTGCTAGTATATATAACCTTGGTTGTACAGAGAAGTTGGGAGCTTAGGCAGACTAAAGGTTTATAGAAGTGATACGGAAGAAAGTTTCTACTTGCCCGTCATTTCATCCTTGTCAATGAACCGGTCGAGCAGCTCTGTGTCATTCAACACCAAGCAATTGTCTGCCTTTCCAAACCAGCCGTAGCGTCGCTTGGCCACGTGGTCATACACAGCATCAAGGAGGGGAGCTGGGACAATCAAGAGCGAGCTCAAAGCCGAGTATGGGAGAGGGAGGTGGGATAGCACTTTCAGAGCAGCTGCAGCAACAGGGTGTCACAGTTCAGACTTGGTTCTAAAAAAGGAAGGTTCGATCAAAAGAAAGCTATACCAAAGATGATCACATACACAAACTGACACACACAAATCATGAAGTATGCAGGCATGCCGTCTCTAACTTAGTAGTTGCAGTATATGCCTCCTGCTGCTTCATTATGTAACTCAGAGTAGCCTACGCATTTGTCTTTGCCATTCTTCTCACAATGACAGTGGTTGTTCTTCTTTTCCATTTCAAAATGCTTCTAACTTCTAAGAATACACTTCTCCACAATGGGCGAAATGTAGCCGAACAGCTGAAAAGGAGATAAGAGGAGACTAACCAGTGGATCCTTGGTGGTACAGGCCTGGCCCTTCAACAAACAGAAAGCGACGAAGGACATCTTCGCGCTCAAGACCGCACAACCTCAGGTATGGCTCAGCAGCTAGGGACTGGACACAACAGAACTTAATCTTCGCCTGCTTATCCACTTGAATCACCCACTTCACCCCTGCCATAGAGTATTACATATAGGCAGCAACTCAGACATCAATGTGGCAACTGACAAATATGCTAGCTGGGCAGGGCTTCAAGACAACTATAGTAACAGTAGCACAGCTTTGAGCAGCTCACTACTGAACTAGCTTTGGCAATCCCCAATCACAGGAAATTAGCCAGACGCAGTGGTGTTCCCTAAGCGCGAAAGGAGCGATGATTCACGGGCAAGTCCACATCCGCCGGCATGAAATTAGGGTAAATTCCGGATACACCGTTCACGATTTCTAACGATTGGGGGCAAAAATACACAATAATCAGAAGGATCAAGTGAGTACCTCGGTGGCAGAGATGGCAGACGCCGTCATAAACCACAACACGAGGCTCGAGAAGCACGGGGAACGTCACTGGTCTCACGGAAACGACTGACTCGAGCAACTCTTCGTCGTCTTCCAAAGCGTCGGCCGCTCCTGCTGCTGCAGATTTGGAGATCGCGGCCGCGGAATCCTTGACCGAGGAAGTGGAACGAGAAGTAGAAGAGGAGTACGAGAAAAACTTCAATGGCGGCCGTACAAGAGATGGAACGCAGCGGAGCCGCCTCAGCATCATTCCGCCCAGCATTTTTGGGGCTACTGGAAGCTTCGAATTCTCGGTCTGTAGCTTTCTTTCCAAGTATACTTTCCTTTTGTAGTCTGTAGATCATCTACATTCTACAGTAGATGCTTCCTTTTCCAAGTTCCAGCTCCGTTCTCAAGTCAAGAAAGCTGGGATCGCTTCGTCCTTGGGTTAGCCCAAGGTTCGTAGAAGAACGTTAAAACTTAAAAGCAGAAATTGGGCTTGAGCCCATTGATGTAACCAGCAATCCAGCATCCTTTTTTTGTCCACGCCTTTTCATGTGTTCTCCAAGAGAAAAAAAGGATTTAGACGAGGATGAATTTCAACAATCTTCCATTTCACATTTCTTACTACAACTCACATTTCAGAGCTTTCTCAACTTTTCTTGTCCCTTAAGTTCAATGACATAACAAGGCTTCACGATCAGTTACTGCAGACTTCCTCCACAGCGATGGCAAGGAGCATTCTGGTTGTTCGTTGCCGCCGTTCGACAATCATCATCGCCCTAGAGAGACAAACTCGAGAACATATACTAATATATTTATGTCTGGTTCTATGTGGGATGGTTTTAAAACCTGGGTTCACTTCAATTTGTGATACGAGCATGGATTGCCTCTTAATCAAGTTAGAAATACTTGCCAAGGAAGCCAACTCAAAACAACATTAAAATGTGGATTTTTGGCCAAGGCATGGTACCATTGTTGATAGCCTACTTTGTAAGACTCTTCCTCTCAAGTGGCTCGTTGAAAATGGAAGTACAAGGCCTCATTTTGAACTCCGAGTGTTGCTGGACACGATGGTGTGCTTGGCAGCTCGAGGGGAAGCCTGGAAGCACAGTTTCAAGCCTCGACAAGATGGTAGCTCAATGCTGGGAAAATGGCAGGAATTGCCCGTGTGTCAAACAGTGAGCAGCATAGCTACTTTGGAGCTTCACTCCGGGAAGATGGTGCTGAATCGAGAAAGAAGATTCAGGCCACATGAAACTACGTATTTCCTAGTACAGAAGCAAGGAGTTGGGTGATCGAGTTCATACCAAGAAGACCTCCTTCGAATAGCTCAAAGATGGTATGGAGGCAAGTTGGAGGACTTGGGCAGGAAGGCAGAGTTGGAGTACTTGTTGTATTCGGATTGGCCTGTTCTTTTAGTTTCCTTGTTGGTTTAAGTTTATGTTTCGTTTTAGGTTTATTTGGATTGTATTTAAACCTCACGTAAGGTCTGAAAGAGGCAGTTGATGATTGAGTAGATTAAACCCAAAAAAACTAAGTGTCGTGCTTGTTTTTGGTTAAGAGCTTGGCCGAGAAACCCAAGCTCGAATTGAGCTCTTGTATCGATCAAAACCGCATTGATCGTGGGCGAGCATCGACGTATAGTTGCTGAGCCATCCTCCAGGTGTAGGATTGCACACAACTTCCATCCATCCTTGTTCTTCCTCCTCGGCAGAACACCAAATCCAGTTTCCGACGAGCTCAACTCAAGGGAAGAGCTTGACTTGTAGCTCTTGTTTTCGAAAATCAAATTAAACCTACTGGGGTGTTTATCAATTTGGGTAGTATATGCCCTTAGGTATCCACCTGATAAACTCCCCTGATGTAATTTGTGTTCGAAGAAGTTATAATGGTGAGAAAAGAATGGTATAGCCACGTTTTCGAACCAAAAGAAAATCTCAATGATAACAAACTGCACCTGAGATAACTGAAAAAGATGTCTATCACAAGCAGGTTTTACTTCAATGGGATTTGTACTCTTCACGTTCGTGAAAGAAAAACTACAATGTAAGAGTTAGTTGTCTTCATTTGAAGCATCGGCAGCTTGTAATCTGTATTTGGTGAAGACACCAGTCAGCACAGCCTTGTCCCTGACCTTTAGCCTGCAGAGAGGAAAATGGTGAAATGGAGTTTAAAAGGTGAGAAAGGAAGCAAGGAACAAACCTCTGCACTTTCTTTTTAGTAGTTGCGCTGCTCTTCTTAGTTCTCTTCTTTGGCGAAGATGATGGCGCACTTTCACCTTTCTTCCTTTCTATAGTTTGCAGCTCTGATACTCAGAAAGATTTCATGCTCTCTATTGCACTTCCCATTTGTGTTTTAAGATATCATGGTTACTATAATCATCATCGTCATCATGATTGTCTACTGTCTTAATGAATTTATCAGACATTCCATCTTCAAAGGCAGAACCATCCATGTCCATGTCGGCCAATTCGTCATCAGATGCAGTGCTCAAGCTGGAGTTTTGAATCCTGCATTTTAGCTGCTTCTGAATCTTAACAAACACTACGCTTTCTACAGAGAACTGTTGCACAAACCTGCAAATGAACACTCGAAGGATCAAACTAGAAACAACAAACTCGCAATCATTGAACCATTTCGGGATTTGGGTAGTGGTTCAGCTGCATTGCAAAGAGATTAAGAGAATATAAGTAAATTCTCGAACTCAAAATCAACATAAGCAAACCCTTTGCCAATAGGGTCCTTTGTCTTCTTGTTCCCAGAAAACAACAGGAGCAAATATCAACGATTGTGCTGAATTCCTTGAAAGCTGATCTCAAATCTCTTTGAACTTTTTTTTTTTTTTTTGGGAGGTTGGTCAAAAGCACCCAGCTCCACTTGGTACAGTTTCGGCAGCTACAGCATCGCAGAAGGGTGTTAGATTCTTCGCCAACGGTAAATTAGCAATACCCAATTGGAAAAAAAGTGAAATTTACAGACAGCACTGACCTTTGGGCTTCGAATCCTCTATCTTGGGAGTAGGCTTGATAGGGTTACGGTTATTCTTCAGGTTATTAACATTGGCAGCTTGAGCAATTTGGCTCTGGAGCATTTCTTCGAGCAGCTTATCTTCAAGAGACGTGTCGTAGACCTTCCCTTCACCCAATCCACGGGGCTGCTCTTGCTCTCCAGCAATTTCTGCATATTCTCAAGTGGCAGTAACATCTCGCCATCCTCTACTTCGTCGCCATAGCCGCCGTCGTCATCCATAAAATCAAATTCCTCTTCATCTTCTTCCACTACGTCATTGCACCGTTGGTACTTGGTTGTGTGAATGATGGCAACGGAGAGTGGAGAAGGAGTTGTTGCCGCGATCACCGGGTGCAAAGAAAATGTACCTGGTGTTAAATTTATAAATCATAGATTTTGCTTCATATGAGCAATAGGTTTCGTGGTGTAGTTGGTTATCACGTCAGTCTAACACACTGAAGGTCTCCGGTTCGAACCCGGGCGAAGCCATTGTTTTGATTTTTTTCTCGACGGGCTGAATTTACAGCATTGATTCCGGCCCAATATAGTCGTTAACATGGGCTGCTGACGACCATAAACCCGGCTCAGATGTCCTAGCAACTTGCAGCCCAAAATGGTATTTGAGATTGAGAGCTTCTCGCTTTTTTTATATGCCATTGTGGGCTCTGTTTTGGGTTACAACTTACAATTACAATTTACAAGTCAAATTAGTCCCTAAAATTAAACTGTGATGAAAGTTATTAAAAAAAAAAGTAATTGAATTCAAGATTTTTTTATAACAATTGAATTCATAAACTGTGATGAATGTTATTAAAAAAAAATTAATTGAATTCAAGATTTATGAATTATGTTGCTTGAGTCTCTTCACCTATTTTATATATATATATATATATGGTGTCGTCTTCGGTGCACTCACTTTTTTGGGTGCGTTCAGTGCACTCGCTTCATAACCATCATTTTAAACATGCGATTTATGTAAAAATGACGTCAATCATCACTTATGATGTGATGAACAATAACGCACATGAATTTGCACAAAAACCATTGAAGATTTACTTTAATTTGAAGAATTTAGAGTTTAGAGATTTAGGGTTAGGGTTAGGGTTTACAATTTGGAGTTTAGGGATATAACTCAAAATTGGAGGTCTAAGGCTTTGGGTAATCGGCTAATTAGTTGTTATCATATGTTATATCATCATATTACACTGATTCTACAAATTAACATTCAACATCCGACACCTTAAGACTAGTTTTTGAGTTGGGTGCATTGAACGCACCCATTTTTGTGAGTGCACCGAAGTAGTCACCATATATATATATATATATATATATATATATATATATATATAGTGGCTACTTCGGTGCACTCACTTTTTTGGGTGCATTCAGTGCACCCACCTCTAAAAGTGGTCATAATACATTAAATTTTGAAATTTAATGGGTTGTATTAGTCTAATATGATAATATAACATAGAATCCCAACTAATCAACCCATTACCCTAACCTATTAACCTTCAATTTTGAATCTTAACCCAAAATCCCAAATTGTAAACCCTAACCCTAACCCTAAATTCCTGAACCCTGAATCATTCAAATTAAAGTGAATCTTGAATGATTTTTGTACAAATTCATGTGGTTCTTGTTCATCATACCACAAGTGATGATTGACATCGTTTTCACATGAATCGCCTGCTCAGAATGACGATTATGAGGCGGGTGCATTGAATGCACCCAAAAAAGTGAGTGCACCGAAGACATAACCATATATATATATATATATATATATATATATATATATATATATATATATATATATATATATATATATATGGTGACTTCTACGGTACCCCGGGTGAAATCTGGGGTACCGCATACCTTGAGTATGAAAACGCTATCTAGACCTCGAATTAGCAGGATTTTTGGGCATGATACTATACCCTAACCCTTAATGAGTGAACCCTAGGTCCTAATTATCTAAATCATAAACTATAAACCCTAAGATGGTGCATTGATTTTTTTGCCTATATTTGGACGGATCATAACCGTCGATTATTGCTTATAATTAAATTGATCTTGGGGTATAAGATTTTGAGAATTAAGACCTAGATGTTGATCTTCAAGGATTAGAGTATAGTATCATCTCCGAAAAATCAGTCAGTTCAAGTTATGGATAGCGTTATCTTACTCAAGGTATGTGGTACACCGGATTTCACCCGGGGTACCATAGAACTCCCCATATATATATATATATATATTAAATTCTAAATACGTTTAAAACACTCTCCTACAATAGTAAAAACATCTTATTTTTCTTGTTTGTTTCATGTTTCACATATTAAATATGTATAAAATACATATAACTTGTTTAATACATGTAGTATTATATATTTTTATTCTTAAATGAATAGAACTTCGTAGGTATTAATATCATAACATACTCATACAATATTTTACTGATTATATTTGCTTGCTACCATTGTCCCTCGTTCCCCCTGTAAGAGACTGGTATAAAATCAATAATTAACATTCTCACCAAGTCATCATAACACGCGTTATTGAGATCAACTGATTATTAAGATGATACCAGAGCTGATTTAGCCAAATAGTCGTTCGTTAGAATCTCCACAACCCCAAATATAACAGCTGATTCAAGCATAAAGATATAATAAGCCTATGCAAACTTCAAACTCATGAGTTAACTTTCATTTGAGTGAGTGTGTAAAAGATTGATATAAAATCCATTATTAACAACCTCATTATCTAGAATTCTACTCCAAACCCCAGTCCCCTTCTAGCCCCACTAGTTTTTTCTCCCTCCCTCGCTCCCTTGTCTTTGTTGCTAGCCACATTCCCTCGACCATGCTACTCAGAGTCTCCTGTACTACCCCCAATCTCCTCCTAATCGTCATTTACTTATCCTCAAGGCTCAGTGCAAGTTACTTCTCTTCTTAATTTATAGTTTCATAATATTTTTCCCGCGCCTTTCAATCAACTATGCATTCATAAATATTCTAAAGCTTAAGTAAATTGACGTGACGACGTCTACAACCAGGGGCGGATACATGGACCTCTAGACACCCCTAAAATTTGGGATTGGGACAACGATTATCCAACCTTCGGTAATAATTTCGTATGGGTATACAAAATATAATTGGTGATTCGGGACACCCTAACATTTGAAAAAATGATTATCCTACCCTCGATAATAGTTTGCTTATGATTAACAAAATATAAGTGGTAGTCTGTGTTATTCCAACATAGGACACTACTATTATCAAACATATTCTAATAATGTTGCTACTCATTTTTTATTCTATTTTAAACATCATGCAACAATAAAACGCTATTTCTTTATCCCCAACTATTTTCAATACCTAATAATTAAACTACGTACACGCTACCCTTAATTTTGAATTGATTTTATGGTTACACGCCCAGTGTTGAGAGAGTCTTTTCTACTTTGAGCTACATTAAGAACAAGTTTAGAAATCGAATATATGATAAGTTCATGAAGTATTGTCTAGTAGGATATGTAGATTTTTTTTGAACAGTGCAGACACGGAGTTTATTTTATATTATTTTTTCAAAATATGAAAACACATCATGAATTTTATTAAAAAAAAATTATACACGTATGATATTTTTAATATATGAATTATTTAATTTATTATTTAATTAAATTTAATTTTTGAAGAGGACACCCTGTGAAAATTTTCTGAATCCGCCACTGCCTACAACACAAACCCGGAAAGACATAACACCAACGTACCTATCTAGTACCAAATGTCATATTTTACTATAATACTTTTACGAAAAGATAACAATATTATTAATTGTGAAGGCAAGCCCCTATAAGGCTATAAGGGATTAATTCCCTAAATACACATTAAACTAAACCAAATTCCTAAACTACCACACTTATAAAAAAAATTCCCAAAATACCTAAGTTTGGAGTGGTTCGAGTTTGAGGAACTCGAACTACTAACCGGTTCGAGTGTAGAAGACTCGATCTACACGTAAATCGATGATATAAGCCTCGAACCATGTGGGGCTGAAGTGGTTCGAGTTCAGTGAACTCGAACCACTACTTTGAAATTTCCAATCACCATAACTTTGTCCTCGGTTATCCGATCGTAGCAAACTTTTTTTTCATTTCGCATAACTTTTCGAGGACTACAACTTTTATAATAGAAATATTTTCAGAATATATGTGAAAATGTGAAAATTAAAGTTAAAGTTACTCGCAAAACCCCTTATATTAGAAACTATTCCTATTTTGAAAATTTATTCCTAGTAAATGTTGTAGTACTCAAAAAATTATGCAAAATAAAAAAAAACATTGCAACGTTTGGATTACGGAGCACAAAGTTATGATCCTCTAAAGTTTGGCAAAATCGAAAAATTGCTCGTTTAGGGGTAACAAATGACATTTTCTCGGGGCGAAGGCACGGGAAATTTTTTTATATATAGGAAATTTCTGCCAAAAGAGCAATATTTTTACAAACAAGACATTTTTGGATGGCTATCTTAGAAAACGTCATTTGCTACCCATAAATTAAACGAGCAAATTTTCAAATTTGTCAAACTTTGGAGGATCATAACTTTGTGCTCCGCAATCCAAACGTCGCAAAGTTTTTTTTTATTTTGCATAATTTTTTGAGTACTACAACATTTACTAGGAATAAATTTTCAAAATAGGAATAGTTTTTAATATAAGGGGTTTTGGGAGTAACTTTAACTTTAATTTTCACATTTTCACATATATTCTGAAAATATTTCTATTATAAAAGTTGTAGTCCTCGAAAAGTTATGCGAAATGAAAAAAAAGTTTGCTACGATCGGATAACCGAGGACAAAGTTATGGTGATTGGAAATTTCAAAGTAGTGGTTCGAGTTCACTGAACTCGAACCACTTCAGCCCCACATGGTTCGAGGCTTATATCATCGATTTACGTGTAGATCGAGTCTTCTACACTCGAACCGGTTAGTAGTTCGAGTTCCTCAAACTCGAACCACTCCAAACTTAGGTATTTTGGGAATTTTTTTTATAAGTGTGGTAGTTTAGGAATTTGGTTTAGTTTAATGTGTATTTAGGGAATTAATCCGGCTATAAGCCTATAACCAACCAATTGCAGGTATAATCAAGGGCTATTTGGCACGCGGATTAAGGAGAGTATACCTATTATATATTGGTCCATGTTGCTCATTGTTTGTATTAATTAGTTTATATATATATGTTT